TACTCACCTCATACATATATTGTCTAAAAAAGCCCCAAATCCCTCAGTAAACTAGATTGCGTGACATCCTCTTTGACTAAACCCAGGAAGGAGGGTAGGGGAGGTTTGGGCTTAGGCTTGGGCTTGGGTGCAAAGCAGACAAAAACATTCCCTAGTAAATCCCGTAATCGCTAAAAAAAAACAAAAAAACAAACAATGCTGTGTAGGGTTTTCAAAAAATAAAAACAAACAAAATCAATCTTGGGACAGGAGCCGATCTCCTGTTGGGAATTATTCATCTTAATTAATGCAGCCCTCATGCGAACAAGAAAACATAGCGCTAAGGTCTCGGTCCTTTTCCTTCTCATGGGTTTTGGCTCATCGACCGTCTGAGATACTTTTGTGAAGTCCCGTGAGGAAAACTGGCACTCAAAGCTGAGCGGCTGTGAATAATCTGGAACTAAAAGACCAAATGAAAATGTAATAAAATGACACAAGTTTCGGCTCCGCAAATAGATGGTTTTTTGTTGTTGTTATTTTTGTTGTTTAGGGTTAATTCACACGAAGGATAAGTAATAGGTCGTAAACTAGACTATAGAGCACGAGTATAACTTCAATAAGAGAAAAAGAGTTTCTTTTCTTGTCAACGGTTTGTCTTTTCTCTTAAGAAAGTTTCATGCCGTGGACATAGCGTGACGGCAGCATAGAACCGTGAACTCAACATTTTTAAAGCGTCACTATTCTTTGGAAAATCACTTATTGTATGGGAAATGTGAGTTTCTACCGGTCAGAGAAAGGTCATATGGACAAGGTCAAAGTATTATACCATGATAAACTACAATGTGAGGCGAACAACTAGCCACCCGTGAAGGCTGCGTCAAGTCGATGCCCGGTAACAACTGAGGTCCTTCCACAAGGGTGGGCTTTAAGATCCATTAGAAAGGCAACGAGGCTTAGTGATTCCCAGCGACAGTACTTAGACGCGAAATTTAAAGTAGGACATGCAACAGGAGTGAAACTTTATCCGGTGGATGTTGCACGTGACATGCGTTACGCGCGGAACCCGGAAAGGAAAAAAAACTGTTCACAGTAAGTGAATTTTTGAGCGAACAGGAAATTCAGTCATACTTTTCAAGACGAGCCTCTAAACTCCGGCATTCTCATTCGGATGATCCAGAATCTGATCAAGACGAAGATATTATGGCCGCTAAAGAGGAAATCACGCACGAAAATGTTCGTGCAGTTGTGTTAGAGGAAGTGGGACTAAGGCACCCAATTGTTTTCGACAACATGCCTTCACAGCTTTTTTTTAGGCTTTCTCTGACGGGTAGAAACTCACATCGTCCATACAATGAGTGATTTTCCAAAGAATAGCGACGCTTTAAAACTGTTGAGTACACGGTTCTATGCTGCCGTCACGCTGTGTCCACGGCATGAATTTTTTTTAAAAGAAAAAAAAAAACAGTGGACAAGAAAAGAAACTCTTTTTCTCTTATTGAAGTTATACTCGTGCTCTACAGTCTAGTTTACCGTCTCTTACTTATCCATCGTGTGAATTAACCCTAAACAACAAAAGCAACAACCGAAAAAAAACACTATCTATTTGCGGAGCCGACACTTGTGTCATTTATTACATTTTCATTTGGTCTTTTAGTTCCAGATTATTCACAGCCGCTCAGCTTTGAGTGCCAGTTTTCCTCAGGGGACTTCACAAAATTATCTCAGACGGTCGATGAGCCAAAACCCTTTTACAAAAACCTTACGGGATTTACTAAGGAATGTCTCGTCTGCTTTGCGCCCAAGCCCGAGCCCAGGCCCAAGCCCAAACCCCCCCACCCCCACCCTCCTACCTGGGTTTAGTCAAAGAGGATGTCACGCAATCTAGTTCAGCTGAGCGATTTAAGGGCTTTTTTCAACATTATATGTACATGAGGTGAGTAAATGTTTATCCTATTCTTCCATCATTGCTTCTACAATTTCTTTCAGACGAAATGTGTAGTGTATTGTACCGGAAGTGTGAAAAGCTTGCGTTTGTAGGCATCCCGTGATGCCTAGCGAAAAGTTGTTGTTGTGGTACTCGTTGGCTGCCATGTGGATAGTGTGTGGATGAAAGTATTGAAATCAAAGAAAATCGAAGGTTTTTATTGCCGTATATCCAAATATCACAAAATGCGAACATTTTGATTAATACTTTTCATATTTAGATAACTGGTACAAGCCAGGCTTCAAAGTAAACAAATGCGCAGATACGGGAAGTGTTGTCAAGAGATTTACAGCTAAATTTCGCGCAATAAAATGCTTTTCCTTTCAGATAATTGCCACTACGAAGTCATAATCGCTTGTTTAGTTTTTGAACTAGTGAGAATTAAAAGGATCGAGTTCTCGAAGTATTTAAACTGCTGTCCAAGTTCACTCTTGCACTGCTTCTATTCGTCATTGCAACCGCAAGTTCAAAAGTTGTAAATTTCACGCAAGTACCATTGATGTTTTTAGTCCTCAAAACTTGCCGTTTGAATTGCCCCAAAATTTTATTTCATAAATTGAAATAAAAAGGATTGCTCTTTCTCTGGAATAGCATTTGCACAATGAAAGCCATGTACCAAGAAGGTATTTTGCCATTGAAAAATGGCAAAATTGATAGTCGCGATGAAACTGTTTTAGAGGGTGATTTTGAAAAAATATTAAAAATTTAGATTGGAATCTTTTGAAATCACAACAACGTTTTCATACAAAGGAAGGGTCATAAAATTATCTTAGATCACAATAGTCATGGTATTTGATTCCGTTTCTTTTCACCACGCGAGGATGCGAAGCACATTTTTCGGTGGTTCAAGGGCCTCTCGGAGCTGAAAATTAAAAAAAAAAATTATTTTTTCGGAAAATATCGATCACAAGAAACTGAATCTTGCATTTCCTAACATAGTTTCATAAGGGCTTTAATGTGACAAAGTTTGGGAGATTTCGATTTTTCCATCTTGCACACCTATATCCGTGGTATTTACAGAAAGTCGCTCGTAAGACACCACAAAGAGGTATGACACGCCTAGAAAGGTGAAGGATGAGTAACGTTTTCATATCACTTACAGCTGCACTAAATTGTTTAGGAGTTTGGCTGGAATGTGTCCATGAAAATGACATTTTACTACCACCCAAGTCCTACCGAAGTTGGTGCATGGACAGATTTTTTGGTTACAAACGTCACTCTCGCATGGTGTTACAAGCCATAAGACCAAGATGACTTGTATCAGGCCAATAAACATCATTAATGAGTCCAAAGAAGGCTGCTGGGAACAAAAGTTATAATATCTTTATTTCTAAATTAAGAAATAAAAGCTGATTGGTTCTGACTGTTCCTCAAATGACGTCACGAGCTTTGTCTAC